CAGAATTGGAACCCAGTCTCTTAGCCCCTGTCATACACAGCCTCTCTGGCTTGGGGTAAATGTCTGTAGCCTGGGGTCATGCTGGGGTTAGATAGGTCCTCTTCTCTCCCCACACCTTCCTGTTGAATCAGAACTTGGGGTTTCTAGTGACACCTGGGACTCATTTGCTGCAGCTTTGGCCTTTGTCATCTCCTGAGTTTGAAGGAGTTGTGACTAGTTTGTTTTATTTAACTTGAAAATTTCTTGTCATTTGGTTATCTTTTCAAAAGGAATACATGGCAGTCAGGACAAGCTAGGTTATGCTGTAGTAACGAACAAGCCTCCAGATCTCAGTAGCTTAAAACAATAAGAGCTCACGTCTCACTATTGCTGCATGGCCATCAAAGGTGTGCTGGGGGCTTTCTCCCAAGTTCTCTTCTCTCTGTGACCCAGGATGATGGAAGAGCCATCACTGAGAACGCTACTGATTGGCACAGAGCAGGGAAAGAAAACATAGTGAAGAATGCACTAGCTTTTCAAGTCTCCACCATGATGTCACTTGTCATTCAGACATTTTTGAACAAAGCCACCCTTTGGTCGTGCACACCTTCAAGTGGGTGAGAAGACACAGCATTATGTATTGTATCTTGAAGGACGTAGAACCAGGGTGTTGGTGGATGGCCGCAAGACTCACGCATAGAGACCTGCAGCTGCCTAAAAATAGCACAAGAAAGAAAATGACATTAAGGTGCCCTGGCTATGACAAAAAGCTTCAGAATGCTTCATATTTGAATATGGAAGTTAGGTCTTCCTGGATTCCCCTCAAATACAGTTGCTGGTAGAGTGTTTTTTTCTAAAATATAAATTTTATCTAAACATATACTTTTTTTCTGTAGAGAAAAAAAAAGGCCAATTTGGATGCTTTTGCTTAAAATTGGGGAGAAAAAAGGAATTTTTTTTTTTTTTTATCCTGAGAAAATAGCTGTCACTAGTTGGGGGCTTTTCCTGGACAGGCATTGTGCAAGTGCTTTGTAGAGAGTGTTTCCTGAGTCCCCACCATGACCTTCTGGAAGGTATTATTTTCTCCATTTGCTAGGGAGGGGCCCAAGAGCAGAGACGCGAAGCTTGTCTGAGGCACACAAATCCCGATCTCCAGTGGGATCCTAACCAGATCTTTTGGACTCTACCCCAAATCCTGGATATATAAGATCTCCCCTCAAAGTACAGAAAACGTACACACTACTGTGGGAAGCTCACTGCCCTTGGAGAAAACATTTCAAACCAGACCACTAAAATTTCTTTTATTTAAATGCTGAAAAGGTAAGCAATGAGCCAGAGAATCTCCTCGTCATCAACAATGAGAGCGTTAGGATTTGGGGTGCATCTTTCTTAATTCAGGACTTGAACTATGATGGGAAATCGCCAGTGTCTCGGAAAGTCAATCCTCTGACACAGCGGCTGGCAGTCAGGGGACAGGAGGGCCAAGGACTGCAGTGAGAGCCTGATCCACAGAAATGATGGCTAAATTGCATTCCCAGAATCCTGCCCTCGAAAGCGATAGCCCCTCAGAGTCCTAAACCCAAACCAGACAGGTGCCTTCCTGTGTCCTTTCCCACAGGAGGAAAAGCCCCTGCTGGAAGCTCACCAGGCCGAGCACGTCAAACAGCTCCTGAGGAAGGCCTGCCCACGGTAAGCCGGCTTCTGCCCTTCACCCCCAGGCTCACTGAGGAGATCCCTGGGGACAGGCCCTGGGACCGGTGGGATGGCACTATAGGAGCCAGGGCTCTTGTTGGCTAATTACAGAAAACAACCTCAAGTGAACTATCTGTAAGAAAGGAAATGAGTGGGTTCACACTGCTAAGAAATCGGGAGGGACTCAAATCTAGGGGCGTATTGTTTTGTTTTGTTGGTACCAGGGATTGAACTCAGGGGCACTCACCTACTGAGCCACATCCCCAGCCCTGTTCTGTATTTGATTTAGAGACAGGGTCTCACTGAGTTGCTGAGTGCCTCACTTTTGCTGAGGCTGGCTTTGAACTTGTGATCCTCCTGCCTGCCTCAGCCGTCCACTGGGGATCACAGGTGTGCACTGCTGTGTGCGGCCCTCCAGGGACTTATTGATATCATCAGAACTAGGTCTCTTTCCCTCACTCCTCTCCCAGCTAGGCTTTCACTGTTTGGGCTTCACAGGTAGGTGGGCTTCCTCCACGTGATGCTCCCAGACTTTTAAGTTTATATCTTCCTGACTTGAGCTCAGAAGAAAGAAAAATTTTCCTTTCCAGTTATGCAGATAAAGTCTCAAACTAGCTGGGGATAGTGGCACACACCTGTAATCCCAGCGACTGGACTGAGGCTGGAGGATCACAAGTTGGAGATCAGCCTCAGCAACTTAGTGAGACTTTGAGCAATTTAGCAAAATCCTGTCTTAAAATCAAAAATAAAAGGAGTTAAAAATGTTGTTCAGAGGTAAACTACCCCTGGTAGCCTCTCCAAAGTCCCCCTTCCCCATTCCCAATGCAACTTTTCAAATTGCATTGGCCTGAATTTAGTCTGATCACTCTTCACTGCCAAGAAGCTAGGAATTTGATCATTTAGCTTAATAAATTACTGCCCCCCACCCAGAAAACCCCTACAGTTTTTGTAAAGATAAGGGATTATGGGGGCTAGGGTTGTGGCTCAGTGGTAGAGCACTTGTCTAGCATGTGTGAGGCCTTGGGTTCAATTTTCAGCACCACATATAAATAAATGAATAAAATAAAGGTCCATCAACATCTAAAAAAAACTTAAAAAAAGATAAGGGATTATGAAAACAGTAAAAACTACTAATGCTCTTTCTGTACCCTAAATTCCAAGACAAAGAGAAGATGGTACTGTTGGAAGAATCAGGTATTTCTTTACCTACGTCTCTTTTCTTGGTGTTTATTCATTCACAGAGAGAGAAAAAAGTCTTGGTTCCAAACCAGGGTATATGACTGGGACCCCTGTTTTCAATTCCCAAGCAGAATGGTTGGAACTATCGTGTTGGCTTTCATCTGCCTGTATCTCGTAAGTAGCTCTGTGAAAATCCTTTTTTATATTTTATAAATGGAGCAGGGCAGGGGCTGGGGTTATGGGGCCTTTGAGACATGGAATCTGTTGAATAGGTTCCTGAAAAGCTGGGTCAAAATCAAATCTTGGTAAGTCAAGGAAGTACAGGGCTTCAGTGCTACTATTTTGCTCCCAAAGGACATGTTTACCCACAGGGTGAATATCACTAAGAAAATGAATCCACACAAAATAAAACTGATATGCTTACAACTCCACGTGGTGAAATTTATCATTAACTAAGAATTAACGGAAGAAAAAATACATTTGAGACAATTTCATATACAATTTGACCCAGGAAAGTTGGTAGAGTTAATGATCCCTAAAGAAAACTTATAATTAGGGCTCAGGTTGTAGGTCGGTGGCAGAGTGCTTGCCTGGGATGCCCAGGGTCCTGGGTTCAATCCCCTGCACCACAAAAATGAAAATAAAAGAAAACATAATTATATAATCTAGTTAGTAAACTGTGCTGTTAACAAAATTCATATCAGTTAAATAGCAAATAATTGATCCTGCCAAATTATTAGTGAATTAAAAATAAAAGTGGATCGCTGGGTGCGGTGGCACATGCCTGTAATCCCAGCAGCTTGGGAGGCTGAGGCAAGAGGATCGTGAGTTCAAAGCCAGCCTCAGCAACTGCGAGGCATGAAGCAACTCAGTGAGACCCCCTGTCTAAGTAAAATACAAAATAGGGCTGGGGATGTGACTCAGTGGCCGAGTGCCCCTGAGTTCAATCCCTGGTAGCAATAAATAAATAAATATATAAAAGTGGATAAACTAGAATTGGTTTATGGTACTATATTTTTTAAATGGAACGAAATTTAAAAGTCCTATTTTAATTTGCTTTCTTGCCCCCCAATACTTTTTTAGTTGGAGATGGACACAACACCTTTATTTTATTATTTATTTTTATGTAGTGCCAAGGATTGAAATAAGAGCCTCACACATGCTAGGCAAGTGCTCTACCACTGAGCCACAGCCCAGCCCCTCACCCCAAATTTTTAAATGTTGACATGATTCTGATTTCGGTGTTTATTAACTATAGAATCAAAACTTGTGTGGTCAAAAGCATCTGAAGTAAAATGATAGTCAAGAGAGTGTCAAATAGAATAAAAATGGTAAAGGCCAATCATCTTTTGCTCGTCTCTACGTATAGGGATGATCCTTATTTAAATTAATCCTGTGATTAAGTTTTCAAGTGAGTGTATTAATTAGGTTATGCTGAAGTCCAGTAATCCCCTAAATCTCAGTGGATCAACACTCTACGTTATTTGCCCACACAGCAGTGCTGAGGGGGTATTCAGAGGTAATTATCCACCATGTGGTCATTCAGGAACCCAGTAATCTTCCATCCTGTGTCCCTGCTTCCTGAGGACCTCATTACATCTGCATGCTGTCAACAGAAAGGAAGGAGCATGGAGAAATGCCTATGGGAGTTTTCTCTATTTTTTTTTTTCTTTTGATAGCAGAAATTGAACCCAGGCTGCTTAACCACCAGGCCACATTCCCCAGAACTTTTCTTTCCTTTAATTTTGAGACAGGGTTTTGTTAAGTTTCTGAGGCTGTCCTCTAACTTGTAATCGTCCTGCCTCAGGCTCCTGATTTGCTGGGATTACAGGTGGGTGCCACTATGTTCAGTTTATAGGAAATTTTCATGGACTGGGTGGCAAGTATCACACGTCCCTTCTAGTCCTCTTCCATTGGCTAAAATTGGCCATGTAGCCACACCTAATATAAGAAGCTAGGAAATGTGGTCTAGCTTTGTACCCAAAGAAGGGAGAATGGATTTTCAGGGACACCTAGAGTTCTCTTCAATATTGAACAACTCCCTAGGAGTTACGGCATTTCTTAAGTGTTCATTGAGCATCTATTGTATGTTCAGCACTGTGCCAAGAATCTCATGTTCTGAGTGATGGATATAAGACATGGTACGGATATATAAGACATCTTATAGTCTAGGATAAAAAAGTGGATAAGATGAATGTGCTCTGGAAGTTCAGTGAATTCTTCTAAATTGAGATACTGCTTGCATGTGATAGCATTTGAGCTCCACCTTCAGAGACAAACATGATTTGGTTGGCAGAGAAAAACGGCAGCAGGAGCCATAGAAACAATGTGCGATGATAGGAAGGCAGACTGGTGGGTAAGCACATTTGTATGGAAACACCTTCTCCTATTTGGCTCCTGTCAGGATCAATGAAGGCTAGAACAATGGGAGTGGTGGTTGTACCCGTCCCTAAGGCCAGCCCTTTGTCCTGCAGGGGCTCAGACCCTGGGAAACAGATTTGGCATCCATGCAGGTAAAAGAAAATGCAAGGTGCAGTTGGGATAGTAGGCTTGCTCCACTTAGAGACCGTAGGAGCCTCTAGCCACCAGACCTTCCATATGCATTTTTATATGCAGACCAAACAAAGAAGGCATATTGCCAGCAGGTTACATAAGTGCGTGCCCACAAGAAGACGTTTTTGATCTGAGCAAAAGTGCTGAATCGGGGTGTTTATGACCTTGACTACATGCTAAAACATAGCTGGCTGGAAGTCTCAGTGAGGGAGCTTAACTGTAGCCATCTGGGCTTGCCCTACACCCTCACTCAAAGTTAGCTATTCACTTCACGCTGATCCCATTAATGTTTGAGGAGTTCCTTGGGGCCCAGTCTTGTGTGCTATAAGGTGAGAACAGAGTGGAAAGTTTTCTATCAGCTCCTGTTTCATTCATTTTAAAGCAGCCAGGGTCACTTTTGGAAGCTGAAATGCCTGTAAGAGGCTGATTTCAAAACCAAAGGGAGTCCATATGCTATTCCCCTGCTGAGCCAAACTCAGGCGAGACCCTGAAACCTTTGCTCTGTGTCCCCAGTTCATCATCATTGAGTTCTGCATGTTTGTGTTCGTGAGAGACAAGCTGGATGTGTTTGAAGGCAAGCTGGAGAGTTATGTCGCCTTAATGAACGAGACGGGGACCCTGACCCCAGTCATCTTGCAGGTGAAGGAGCTGATCAGCGTCTCCAAAGGTAAGACCATCTGCTACCAACATTCCCGCCACCAGCATGGGAAACCAAGGGAATTTTAAGTGTGGCAGTGCACACTTGTAGTAATATTGCTGTTAGTGTCGAGATCACCTGGCGGAGATGTCTGGCCTTGGAGCAAAATGTGCTAGAGTTGATTTGTGCCTCCCTGGGTCAACAGAAAGACACAGGGGTCGGGACACAGAACATTTTGTCAGGATCTGTTTGGGGCTGAATTGAATATGCCCTGAGAATTTTCTTATCTTAAATAGCCTATTTTTTTCAATTCCAGTGGGAAGAATTAAAATGTTCCTTTATTTTCCACTTGGAAAGTAAAATAAAACACCGAGTCTTCACTTTTCTTTAAGATAACATGAAAAGTTCATTAACATTTTTCAAAATTTGCCCGAAGGTCACTTTTTAAAATAGATCTCTTGTTATAAATTGGAGGCCAGTGTAGGCAATTTGGTGAGACCCTGTCTCAAGATAAAATTTAAAAAGGCCCTGGATTCAATCCACAGTACCATACATGTACACACGCACACAAACAGACTCTTGAATTTATTTCTTTTGTCCCACTGAATTTTGTATCCTTAGATTAACAGCTCCCTGAGACCTTCCCTCTGCCACTGCCCACCTCTGATAACCTCCATTCTCTACTTCCTGCTTCTATGAATTCAACTTTTTAAGATTCCACATGTATGTGACACTATATGGTATTTGCCTTAATAGCCTCCAGGTTCATCCATGTTGTCTCAAATGACAGGATTTTCTTTTTTTTTATGGCTGAATAGTGTTCCATTGTGTACACAACTTTTTTTAAAAAATCCATTCATTAGCTGATGGACACTTAGGATGAGTCCATATCTTGGCTATTATATATTATATTATTTATTATTATAAATAATACTGCCATGAACATGAGAGTGAAGCTATCTCTTTGACATACTGATTTTATTTCCTTTGAATATATACATAGTGGTGGCATTGCTAGATCATAAAGTAGTTGTAATTTAAATTTTTTTTGAAACGGCTTCCATACTGTTTCCCATAATGGTCGTTCTAATTTATGCACCAACGGATAGTATGCAGAATTTCCTATGTCTCCACATCCTTCCCAGCACTTAAGTTATCTTTTTGATAATATTCATTCTAATAGGTTATGAGATGATATCTCACTGTGGTTTTAATTTACATTCCCTGATAACTAGTGATGAGCAGTTTTTACTATGACTATTGACCATTTATGTCTCCTTTTGAAAGTCCTTTGCCCCTTTATTGTGGGTGACAGAGAAGCCACGTACTCTTATAAAGAAAGCTTTCTTGGAAAATGATAGATCCTAATGACGTGCCCATTGTCTGTGGAGGAGGGAGAATTGTCTTCTATTCCCAAATGAGAAAGCACCTGGACAAGGCTTCAGGATAAACTTGTCCTTGCTGCAGGACAAGTTGGAACCCTTCTCTTGGCCTCGATTTCCTCATTTGCAGAGTAGGGCTTGTAGTGGCTTGCTAAATGGTCTGCAAAATCTTTTAGGACTCTGATATTTAATGGCTAATGTTCCCTAACTCATGAAACAGACGTGGCAAGTGACTCCCCCTCCCCCACTTAAGACTCATGAGCTGGGAGAGTATAAAACTTGGGGGAGGAGGGCCTTGATACGAATTACTCTTTTACACCCAGGTATGTCATGGACGTTACCTTCCAGGTGATGCTGAGGCAGGTACTGCTCCTTCTATAGTCCCATAGTTTACTGTTGCCCTTGAACATTTCATTCATCTTCAGTGCAGATTTATGATCAGCATGGTGAGATCCTGGGCATAACACAGAGAGCATATGCTACCCTTTAATTCAGGAATACCCATTCTAAGTCTTATTGGTGACAGTCCCCATTGTGTTGATAAGAGATTGACCTATAAACTATAATGGTTTATTTTTGATACTCAATTCTATTCCATTGATCCATTTGCTTATCTTTCTGCCAGTTCTATACTAACTTTATTACTGTAGTTTTGTACTAAGTTTGAAATTAGGAACAGTGAGTCCTGTAATTTTATTCTTTCTCAAGATTATATTGACTATTCTGGGTCTCTTAATTGTAAGTGATTTTTAGGATTAGCTTTGTTAGTGCAAAATGGCATTGGGATTTTCATACAGATTAGTTTGAGTATGTAGATCAATTTGGAGAATATTGCTATAACAATTAATATCCTATATGTGAGCAAGAAATGTCTTTTCATTAATTTAGATCTTCTTTAATTTCTTTCAAAATCTTTTGTAGTTTGCAGTATACAAGTTGTATATTCTTTCACTATGTTTATTCTTAAGTATGTTATGCTTTTTATACTATTATAAATGCAATAGTTTTCTTCATTTTCAGATTGTTCATTGTATTATTACTTAATGTATTATTGTAATAATACTTAATGTATTATTCTTATAACCTGAAAATTTTGCAGAACTCGCTTATTAGTTCTACTAATTTTTTGTGTGTATCCCCTTGGATTTCCTATATATAAGATCATGTCATTTGTGCATAGAGATAGTTTTACTTCTTCCTTTCCAACCAGGATGCATTTTCTTTTCTTTTTTTTTTTTGAATTTTTTAATATTTATTTTTCAGTTCTCGGCAGACACAACATCTTTGTTTGTATGTGGTGCTGAGGATCTAACCTGGGCCGCACGCATGCCAGGCGAGCGCGCTACCGCTTGAGCCACATCCCCAGCCCTCATTTTATTTTCTTTTTCTTGACCAATTGCACTGGCTACAACCTCCAGTACAATGCTGACTACAATTGACAAGAGCTGACATTGCTTATCTTGTGCCTGATGTTGAGGGAAACTTTCAGTCTTTCACCATAAAGTCTGATACTTATTGTGGGTTTTCAGCAAATGCCCTTTATCAGGCTGAGGAAGTTCCCTGCTATTACTAGGTCATTGAGTGCTTTTAATCATAAAGAGATTTGGATTTGTCAAATTCTGTTTTTTTCCTGCACCTATTGAGGATTAGCTTCTTCAGAATCTTTTAAACCAACAAGTCACCTTCCTCCCCTGATTCCTACATCCCTCCCTCATTAATGCACAGAATCTCTCTGAAAGCAAGTTAGATTCTAAATATCAAAAACTTGATTAAGGGTGAATGAGTGAATAGCCAAGACCTCTTGATCCCCATTATCCTTGTATCTGGTTGCTGTGTAACCAACGCACTCCCCAGAAGTGGCAATTGTAATTCAAACATTAATGATGTTTTCCATCGATGGAGGCTATCAATGATGTGTGTAATCCACAATTTTCCCTTCCTTTATTCACTACAGAGTGAAAAATATAACACTAAAGGAGAGAATTAGGAAGGAAATAAAGTGCATCAAGGGCATTTGTGGTTAAAATGAAACAGAAAAATGAGTAGAAGTTATCTATCAAGAAATGTATGGATAAAGGAAATGTGTAGATAAAGGAAGCATCATTTTGCTTAGATCTTTTGGATATGGAATTCTGCTTCTTGAATATTCCATTCCAAGTTTATTTTTCAAGGCCTCTCATCTCCCTTTTCATATTCCAGGAGTCTGGGTGGCTACCATTTTACCTGCATCTCTCACGAGTGTGAGCTATCTGTTCCATATTTTGGCTTGTTACAGGTAAGAGGACTCTGGGAGTCATTTGTGTGACTTTAGCCAGAATGTTATCACTGACTTCTCAGAACTCCAGGGCGGTACCTGCAATACCAATCTGTGTTTAGGAATTGAATACAATGTCCAGGGTAGCCACATCTTTTGATAGGAAGGAAGAAAAAATTCAACTATGGATTTGAACTTCTCTGATGAACAGGCATTAGGCTAAAATCCTCATTGAATGTCTCCATTTTTACGCTTTGAGAAAGCTGAGACTCAGCAATTAAATAATATAAATAATATGTACAAGCAATTAGCAGATGGTTCAGTCTTTCTGGCCACAAGATATTATCTGGCATTTCCATTGGGCATCAGACCTACTCAGCTATTTGAGGTTGATAACTGTGGGCTCCCAACAGGTAAATCTAGATCAAGGGACATCAGTGGAACTTGAGTCACGCGGACCAGGAGCATCAGTCTCAAGAATGACAGTGCAGGGGCAGCAGTGCACAGAGCAGGAGGAAGGGATGGCCTTAAACACGCACAAGCATTTACTTACAAGCGTCAGTTTTGGTATAACTGCTACCTTGCTCCCTACAAACCCCACAGGCTCATAGAGAGCATCTCTGAAGCAGCATATCTTAAGATTCTCCCCAATTGCCTGCCCAAAGAGACCCAATGGGCAGGTGTCTTGCAGATGGAGCCCACAAGAATATTCTCCTGGCATGAAGGGACCCAGCTCTCCACCAGCCCTGCCTTGCTCCCTCTCTCTGCTTTCTTCTCTGTGGACCTGGTGGGTGGTCTACCTGTGGCTGGAGATATTCTGTGAGACCTCTGAGTGACCAAGGACAACCACCCTACAGAGGGGCTGATGGATTTGGAGGAGGGTGGCTCAAGAGGAGGGAGGAGAGGGTATCTGGAGAGAGGAGTCCAGGCGGCTCCTTGCCTTCCACCGGTCCTCCAGGAGGGACGACCCGTGCCTTGCCTTCTTATCAGAACAGTGGGGCAGAGGAAATTATGGATGAGGAACCCCCCTACATACTTCAGGGCACTAGCACTGTGCCAGCATTTTAATTGCTCTTGGCATTATCCTAAGCTACATGTAGACACTTTTAAAAAGTATTATGAAGAACATTTAGTGTAAAAATAAGTCTTCCTCACACTTGGGTTCCTAAGGTCTTACCCCCAGATATCTACTGTTAACTGTTTTCTGTGTATCTTTCCAGAAATTTCTTATGCACAGTGGAAATATATGCTGTGTTTGTGTGTGTTTGTGCGTATGTGTGTGTGTGTGTGTGTGTTGGTGATAGCATACAACTCCAGTGCTACCAAAAAAAAAAAAAAAGAAAGAAAGGAAGAAAAGAAATAGAAAGTCATACATGCAAATTTGAAGTTTCTGGTACCACTATTAAAAAAGTAAAAAGAGACTAGTTATATCACATATTTAATAATACTTTTTATTTATCTCATTATAGCCTAAATATTCTCATTTAAAAATGTAATAAGTATGAGAATTTTTGACAAGATTCTTATATTCTTTTTTTTATTCTAACAGTTTTGAACTTAGTGATCATGAAAAGTAAAAAAAAAAAAGTCCTGGAGAAATGCTGGAGGTAAAATGTCAAGTTAAAATAAAAAGCAGCACAAACGCAAACGTGCCCTGGGACTGTGACGATGTCAGCCTGATCTCTATGTCCAGGGCCAAGGCCTAGAGAAGGACGAGGGAAAGGAAGCAGTCTGTGCGGGTGGGTGGCGCGAGCCGCTGGGCTCTTGTTCCCCTCCACATTGTTACAAGGGCAGCAGCCCCACCACCGGTCTCTGTTTTCACCTGTTCTTTGAATCTCATCACCTAAGCAATAGATATTCCTCGTAGCAAACTACGACAGCATAGAAAATAAAAGGAAAATAAAAGCCACCCACAATGCATTGATCAGATTCAGTTGCCATTAGGACTCAGTCATTATAAAAATCATTTTTACAAAATACATTAAACTTGTAGGTTTGGAAGGCAGATCAGGTGGTGCTGTGAGCTGGTACTGAACACAGCGGACTCCAGGCCGCCTGCCCCCCACGTCCTCGGGCCTTTCTGTTTCTGCCCACAGAGGTCGTTCATGCAAAAGGAGCCGTGGTTATGGGCATCACTTAATTATTTCACACCTTTTCTCCAGAAAGCACATGAAGAGGCTGTGGGCAGGAGATAAACACTTTCTCCCTTTGCGGTTCCACAATCCTTCTCCGTCCGAGAGTGTGGTAAGTCTGAGATTGAGCCTTGAACCCAAACCTGCCTCTTTGGGTTGTGGGGAACCTCTGAGACTGGTAAGGGGGTCAGAGGGCACGAAGAAGGTCCTCTCCTGCTCTGAGGTCACTGTTTCCTTCTACATCTCAGGTGGCCATTGCAAGGTACTCCGGCTGGCAAATAGCTTATATTCTGTGGGGTAAGTGCCACCTGGGGCCTGTGCAACCCAACACATGTTTCCTGGGAGGGAGGAGAGGGGAGTGGGAAGCAGCCCTGCTTCTGCCCTCAAGGGACCTTCAGGATGGGGGAGAGACACACAGGTCCATCATCCTGTCACCCTCCCCGCCTGTCCTGAATGTTAAGATCACCAGAGGAGGAAGTGACTGACCCCAGCCAGGACAGGGCTCCGAGGCTCTCTAGGGGAGTCTGCAGGTGGGAAGAGAAGAGTGGGAAGACAGGGGAGGCCATGCCAGGCAGCAGGAATAGCATCAGCAACCATGCCAGGGCCTCGCGTGGACTGCCGGGAAGACACGGGGGCAGATCATGGCGACCCCCAAGTGAGCCTTACTCCCCTGTCCCCAGGCTACCTCATCATCCATGTGATGCAGAGCCTGTGTGGCCTGATGATCATGTATGGCCTGGTGCTTCCTGTCACCCACCACAGGGGCCTGGAGATGCTCCGAAGGCTGGGACTTGGGATGTAAGTGCTGAGTGGGTGGCCTGTCCTCCTTGAGTCCTGAGAGCCAATCCCTGGGC